CAGAACAACTTTTGCCTCCTTGCTGTAGACTTTGCAGTTGACATTTGAGTTGATTTACATTTGAGGATGAGGAAGAAGCATAACGATTTGCCACAGCAAGCCATGCTTGTCGAGCAAATTTGAGACCATAGACTAAGGACAGTATCTTCTCTGAGATCGTGGACTTCATCCACACTAATACAAATCGATTTTTTTTGTTCCATATGATAAACTCCGGATTAGAAACAGGAGCAGCAGTCCCTACAACAGGTAGGAACTCTTCTGGGCATGGTTCAGTACCATCCACAAAACCCAAAAGACCATGGATATCAAGGGCACCTTCGACTTGGGAAGACCAGTTTAAATAAGATGATGGTCCATCAAGTCTCACCGAGACAAACTGAACAAGATTGTTAGGTGGAATGAAGGTAGTAGCAGAAGACATTATTCTAGGTAGGATTAGACGTTACCCAAATATGGCTCTAATACCATGAAAGAAATGATAAGAAGGGCTTGGTAAATCATACCAAAGCCATATGTTTACTACATATTTATAGGAGCAATATTTACAGATTTGAAACATTCACATCCTCTAATGTAGCAAAATTACAGTAAATAATTCCTACAGGTAATCCTATTACTATGCTGGACATATGGCAGATTTGGAGCCTTCATCATTGCTAATATCAATCAACATTGCTGGTACTTTTATGAGAATTGGGAACAAAAATGGAAGGTTGCTGTCTATGGTATGGTTGAAATTGTAGAATAATATGATGAAAGTGAAAATGGAAGGGAAAAAATATAAGCTACCTATTTAGCAGGGAGGAAAAAGATGTGGCAAGGGAAGATGCCTGTATTCACACGTATGATCTTCATGAAATCAAGAGGCATTTGTTGAAGTTCTGCAAATAAAATAATTTGATATAATTCTGTACTTATACTAGACGTAATTATTAACTTGTGGAATAATTATAGGATTGTTTATATTTCACTGGGTTACCAAATAAAGGAAATGTGATAACCATTGTGTGATCTTACGTGAAAGAGCGGTTCATTCCTTGAGGTCTGTATCCAAGTTACACCAGATGGCGCCCGCCCTCTCCTTACCTACCTTTTGTGAACCAAAAAATGTGCACATAACTTCCAAAATATTGCTTACAAATTGTTGCGGAAGCTCTCTCTAAAGGATCTTCAAATGGTGGTTTTCCAGGCTCAGTCCAACGTACCTTTCTCTACCAACAACCAATCCAAACGGCTCCAAACCACAACCAATTGATTCACCTTGGTTGCTATTCAATCTTACCCACGTAGGACAAGAAGGGATGATGATTTATCGCCACAAAGGCTAGGAGAAGACACCACAAAGGTATACTATGAAAGAACCACCAATTGCACACGTTATACCAGCGTTCTAGACACTTCTGGACACCCTTTTTCTCACACAAAAGGGGGCAGCCGGGATTCTCTTGTTTCTTCTCTCAAAATCACTCAATCATCATCTCAAAGAGGCTAGGGTTATATTCATATATATACTCTAGGGTTAGGCTTTAAGTTGGGCCATTAAAGGGTAAACGGGCTAAGATTCAAGCCATCCATAAGGAATACAATTGGGCCGGGTGTAGCTCATGGACTTGGTTGTTGGACTTATTTCATTCATTGGCCTATGCCTATGAAATAATATTAACCCACGTTAACATCATAGCCCGGGATTTATTGGGTATCAAAAAACCCAACAAATCTCCACCTTGATGCCCAATAAATCTGCAAGCAATCAAAACACACAGTTAACACTTGCATAATCAAGGTAGCCAATAAAATTGGATCACAGACCTTACCTCGTGTTTCCAACTTGAAACACATACCATACCTGCTCCATGTACTAAATAACTATTACAATGAAACGAAAATTACAACTCAAACTTGAAGTAATATTTACAATGTGCGGCCGAAGTTGGGCAAACTGCGGCTGCGATAGTGTCAAGGGGCTAAGTAAAGCTGCGGTCCTTGACACACGGTCATGCACATATGCAACAAATGCATAAATGACCCTAAGAAAATATCTCACCACACTTATCCTATCCCATTCCATGTTACTTCCACCTCGAGAACACATATCTCCTCTCATCGCCCACCATGCTCACTAAACCAATCACTTAACTCATATTTAACTGGCAAGTCACAATAGATCCTAAGCTCTCGGGATAATCCTCTATCACCATATCACTTCTCCCAACCTACGTGGATAATGAGACTCCACTTTATAGAAGTGATAGAAGTGTCTCTCTCACACTCCACCTGATCAGGGTCTCTTTCCAGATAAAGGATCCTAGACATTTGATCACATCACAACTCGTGATCCAAATGTCACACTCTACATCCCTCGGTACAAATCACCATGTACCCTTAGGCGGTACAAACCACCATGTACCCCTAGGCATCTATACTCCACCTTACCAAAAGACACACGACACACTGCTAATGCATTCTAACCCACTATGCATGCAAGTAATTATACCAAGTAATCCAAATGTCTCAAATTCATGTAAATGCACATATCAAACACATTGAAATGTAGCAGATAATCATGCAACAAAATTTAGACAATCACACACATGTAGAAAGGATCACACATAGATGCATATGCAGTACTAGGTTTACACTCAATAAACCTCACTGGGGTCATAACTCGACCCCTCAACCAAATTCGTCTCACCTCTCATCTTTCCCTTCAGCTTATTTTTCTTCTTGGGACAGTCCCTAATAAAGTGTCCAGACTTACCACAATTGTAACACCTTTTACCACTAGACTTGTCTCGTCCCTTACCCTTCTTCTTACTACCCTCATCACTCGAGTCACTACTCGAATCACTACCGT